TATGTGCAAACGGACAACAAACTCATAACAAGTATAAAATTGAAATATTTATGAAATGTATTAAACAGATTTTGTCTCTAGCGCTTGTTTGACAGTTTTTGTCTCAAATTCCTATGTTATAAAAAACATTATGCAATATGCAGAGACATGAATACAGTTACAGAAACACACACACACACAGAATTCTGGGTGGACTGTAGCACAGCGCTAATCCCTCTTTCACACCCATCTGCTGACCAATGGGAATCTAAGGCCCAGGTTTTCCCTGCTGCATTGTGAGCCAGACAGCAGTCACATCCAGCCGGCTCAGAGGGGCTCACGAGTCAATGACTGCACACAGACATGGAGGCAATGTGACTTGCGGGTGAAGCTACTGTCCTGTCACATGACCCCCCCCCCCCCCCCCCCCCCCCCCCCCCCCCCCCCCCCCCCCACACACACACACACACACACACACACACACACACACACACACACAAATTTTTTTGTTAGATTTGCACAGGTGCATCCCAACAATCCTCAAGAGAAGCACAGGAAGTGATGAATGCTGTAAATGTGGGTAAGAGGATACATTATGTTATGCAAGTCATGAGTTGGCAGCCAGTGGTTTGCAGATTAAGATATCAGCAGGGAGCAATGTGCTTCCTCAACAGATGACACACACTCACACACATTAAAAACACATTCACATGCAAGTTAAGATTATTTCTGTCTACCAAGATAGAGTATATACGTCTATAGTGAAACAGTACGCTGTGCTTGGTCTTGATAAGTGCCACAAGTGTTTGCTGGCAATAAATTGGAGACAGACTTGTGAGAGAGTGTTTCCATTTTTTAAACCAAAAATGGTCCACAGTAGTAACAACTGGCAGATGCTAACAATTTACACAACCTCCTGGCGAGGCATTGTAAGTACAGTGAAACAGTATGCTAAGAACATGACATCCTACATTTAAAATGTGACAGGGCAACCACAGTACAGTGTGCTACCTAGTTTCAAGCAGTGCCCCATGATTGATTTTTGTTTCTGACACTCGATATGAGAGGAGATGAAACGCAACAAGATCCCAAACAGGGCTGGAACCAGAGCTGTTGTGATTGTATGGCATGCATCCTACATCCCTGGGTCACCAGGATGCCTCAGTGTGCAGTACCCCTCACAGAAATTAAAGAAATATAGACTGTAGCACAGAGAAGAATGCAATTTTCTTCAGTGTAATCCAAGATCTGTGTACTACACTTTCAACATACATGTGTGCTCGGTGCTGAGAGTTTGAAAGCACAAAGGAGCTATTTTATTGTAGCAGGGAAAATAGCTGTGGTGTGTCATTGAGGGCAAAACAATGTCATGGTATGTCTGTTTGTCATTTTCCTCTGAGCTCAGGCAACCACTAGGAATTTTCAAGGCCATTCTGAACACACGACGAATTTCTGACATGGCAACGAAGATGTTTTATTTTTTATATGTGGAAAACAAGAGAAGGCAGACGCTTGCATTCACTTACGTACTTGACCAATATAAATCAGGGGGGCTCAAAGGTTTGATGACTAATGCCAATTTAGGAAGCCAGCATGTGACTGGGGGCTGCACGGGAGCTGTCCACCGAAATCACTAACTTTAGCTAACAGCGCCAGCATTGATCTCTTTGTAGTGTATTAAATATAAGCTATTGAAAATAAAAGGACTGAAATGGACTGCAAATGACTGAAATATAATGCATGCATTTTAGATAATGTTCAGAGGAAACTTTTCAAGATTACTAAATCCAGATTAACAGTGCTCTAAATAGGACAACACGTCACAATATAGGCAGCCACCAAAGATTATAACCAAATATTTTTTGTTTGATAGATCTTTGGGGGATTATGTTATCAGGACAACATCTTTTTTAACTTTTTTTTTAAACTTAAAACTAAAAATCTATTTAGTAATCCTGATTTCTTGGATCAAAGGTATCCCAATCCTACTGAAAGGTTTTAAGCAACACATATTGAGGATATGAGCCAGATCAAAATCAAGACTTGATTACGTGATCTAATCTGATTTCAGAATCCTTTTTTGAACATCCTATTTTCAAGATTTGATTCAATCTGATAACCAAAATCTCATCAGATTACTTCTGACCAACTGGGCCACAATGGTTAAATACTCATTACTCAATTTGGTCAGCAGGTGGCAGCAAAAGCTTAAACATAATGTGCACACTGAAGGATTTTAAAATAATATTCCTCAGTAATTGGTGTTCATTTGTACAAAGGTTAATTAATCTCATTACCACTTACCACTGTCTTTTTATTCTGTATCTTTATTTTTTTTTAACCCTTTGGTAAAAATGAATCTTTGCAAACCTACTCTTAAAGATATTCTCTGCAGAAGTTTCCTAAAATAAATGTATGAACTCATACAAAAGTAATTCCTCCAAGTCATCGTTTATGACCCATTAGAAGTGTGTGGTGGTGCATTTAGCTGTCTTTACCCAGAGACTCTGCAGGGATGTTCCTGTACATAGCGTGCAGGTGAGGTTGAGTAGCAACCAGGTGCTGGGTGCCATAAGCAACATGCATCCAACATGACACCACATGTTGCGGACACAGCACAGACAGAAATGCAAATTGTAGTAAATCTGGGGCTGGTGTTCACTTCACTTTTACTGGGGAGACTGTTTACAAAGAGTAGCCGACAATTCCTGCATACTATACCTTCAATATTACAATTTCATTTACTGTCAATGTTTTGTATGCTCATAGAGCTGAAATGCTGCAAACTGGAGTACAGGTAATACATGTTAAACCAAAATAAAAACCATGTGGAATTAAGAAAATTAATTACACAGATTTGATTAATTAGATAATTAGAGTGTAAAGGTGTTTTGGGGTGTCTAATCTCTGAATGTCTGGGCTCATACTGTACTGTATTCAAAAACAAGTGGTGAACTATGACTGATTCACTCTTGAAATATGAAGCAACACAGTTCAATTGTTGTGTGTCAAAATATTATCCATGTCTATCAATATTTCAATTGTTGTTTCTGATGAACCAGAGACTTTAAGGTTTGCATAAAGCACAAAACAATGGCTAACTGGGCCATTTAAAAGTCTGAAACTTGTGAATGAAATCAGCTTTCTCTTTCCATGTACTAGTTTGCTGTAAATAAGCATGCTGGAGTATCTCTGCACCAATCTTCTTAAGAACTGCAAATTGTTATCTGCATTACAGATACTGTAAGAGCATGATGTTTGTTCTTGCTTTTATCAGGACACAGAATATATTTCCAAATCTTAGAGTTTTCCTGTCCTAATAGCAGTGACTTAATCATCAGAGGTGATTGTTTGTGGAAGTCTGACCTGCAAAGTGTTGCACAGACACAAAGTCACCACATGATGGCAGAGTTGGTTCAGATTGACTTGTTCGAAGTTAGGAAATATTTCTGAATTCATTACACAGCATATAGATGTAGAGCAGAACATGACAGGTTACTTTAAAAATAAAATTAAAGCAATTATCTGATTACCTTTTTACTTTTGATCAAATTTATTTGCTGCAATATTTTCATTAATCCTAAGAAAAGGGGCTTATTTATTAAAAAAAAAAATACAATATCTATCACATTATTTTCATGTGGTAGAGGTGCTATAGATGCAAATCTATAGTCTCTTTTCATTGACAGCATTGAAAGTAAAAAAAAGATACACTTAAAAAAAGGGTTGGAATTACTGCAATTTTAATATTATTTTATATGAATTATTTTCTGCTGCACCTGAGTAACTGGTAACTCAGTATAACTGCTGTGATCGCAGCCATTAAGTCCCTTCACAAAGAATCTCTGGATTGGAACATTAACCCTTTGAAACCTGGAGCAACATCACTTTTCTTGTGCAGTATAGTAAGTATTGAAACCTTTGAACACTGGTTCAATTTCTGCCAAAGACATGGGGAAAAACAGGCAATGAGCAACTTGGTAAGAAATGTCCCACAAAATGCAATAAAAATAGATTTGGAAATTTAAAAATTTGGGGAAAGCTAGGGAAAGACTATATGTATAGTAATTATTACATTTTAAAATTATGTCAGAGAATTATTATAATCTTTAAAGCACTCTTTCCAGGTCATTTCCTTGTTTTGTTTTTGTTGTTTTAACTAATTTTCGTGTTTTTAATTTTCTCTTTTTACCAATTTCTTGCTAATTATTTTGGTCATTCCTTCTTCCGTTGCTCACAACCTGCTTCCTCTGTTTTTACAAGAAATCAAGCCAGTTTGTTCACGTTTAATGTGACTGTAGCATAAAAATAATTATTCTTTTAGGCTGCAGCACATACAGAATGAACCTCCCCTAGTCCATAAGCCAGACCCCCCCAGAATGTGGCTGTCATGCTAATTTGGAGGGACCATGTCTCATGGTGATTTATTTTTAAAGGTCTACAGTATGTCCCTAGTGTTGTGAAATACATGATAGCATTGCACCAATGGCAGCTATCACTCCTGTTTTTCATCCCTCCTTCATTACAATTATGTTTTGCCCCATTTCACACATAGAGCCAGTATAAAAGAATAACACACACATAATTTCATTAAGTCATGTCATTGCAAATCTTAAGAGGATAATCTATCAACCAGTCGCATTTTCATGACGCTAAGGACGACAGAATTTGACCTTTAACACTGCAACAGGACAAATTCTGCAAATGCCCTTTTCACTAACTATATACCAATCTGATTGACCACAAGAAGACCTTTAAAATGACATGTTACAGAAATTACGATGACATTTCTTAGTTTATTCTGATATGAAATGTTGTTATTCGTATATTATATAATTTTAAAGCTTTTGTTGTGATCACATCAGATCAGGATGGAGTTAGTTATACAGGCAAAAACACAACTTTGTGCAGTTTGTCTCTGACAGGATGTTAAGAGCTTTGCGTTATTGGGCCGGTTTCTCGGCATCAAATCTCTCTTTCTGACTCAAAAGGGCTCAAAAACAAATCAAGCAAATAAACTCTCACATTATAAAGAATTTATTGCAGGCAAACAATACCATAAATAATATTTACAAACTATAAAACAACATTCCTTTTCATGGGCTCCATGGATTGCTGGTAAACAGTCTTTCAGTCTTGGGATAACTTTAAATCCTTTGTTGCAGCTGCATTATGTCACCTTGACCACTGCAAACTGCAAGATGTCTAGATATTTAAAGCTACATTCAGGAAACAAATTAAATTTAGATGCATGTATTCTTAGAAATTTGGTTATTTTACTTTTTCACTATATTCACTTTCCTGTTTATAACTGAATTTAAGTATTTGTTTTCTTACAACAGGTTTCAAACTGCACAGCCTTTCACAGAGTTCCCGACCACTCAACTGCAGCCAAATGAGAAAGTGAATAGCGTTGAATATAGTGTTGAATACTGGCAATCTGACGAGAGACGCTAGTTCACAAAAGTCAAGATGAAGGCTGGAAATGCAACGTATATGTAGTAAAGCAACCACCTTACCCTTCTACAGTGCGTTTTACATTAAGATCACGCATCTCTGACGCTGTATTTTTTTTTTTGGCCTGCACTGTTTGCGTGGGGCGTTAATTAGTATTCAACAAATTATGCACACATCTGATAAAATCCGTCTTTTCAGGAAAAAAAACTCTAAAAAAAATCCACAGCACACTATTTCCCTCTTGGCATTTAGTTTAGGCGTAAAGGAAATAAGTTTCTGAAAGAATTTAAAACAACAACGAAAGAACTTTCATGTCCAAAAAAAAAAAAAAAAAAGTTAGAATTCAATATTCCGAACAGTAAACCCTGTTGATCGTCCCCGTTTACTAATCAACACTGACTGAAAAAAGTGTCAGAAGTGCAACTAAGAACAGCTCTTTTTGTTAAATTGCTTGTTTGCAGTAAATTAAAAGTCTGAACCTATCTGATGCTAGTTTCCTTTCGCTTTTCAACATTCCAGCAACTCGAGTGGGAGAAGTACAGTATGTGCCTGTTGTGTCACACGGATTTTTCACTCTCACGTCATTGTTGTCGTTTCCTCTCTGATTCTAAACAAAAATTCTCAAAAGCTTCTTCTATCTCAGGCTCCATCTCGTCTTCAGAGTCGTATCTGTGAACACAACAAAACCAGTGATTTACTTTTAACTGTATGTGCAGATGGAGTGTGTATTACTAATGATAGTATGTGCAAGTAACTGGCATTTACACGACACACAAAAACACAAGCTCATACACACACGCACAGTTCTGAGAGAGAGGACAGGAGCGAGCTAAGCCCTCTTTGACACTGAACTGCTGACTACGCTGAATCTGAGGGAACGGTCGACCCTGTTGCATTGTGGGCCAGTCAAACACTTTTGCCAAGCTCAGGGGCCCACAGGTGGTTATATGACCTGTGTGAAGCCACAATGCAGTCACATGACCCAAGATGTACCAGCACGGTGGTACTGTTGAACCTCTATAGATATGGGTTGAAAAATAACAATAGGCTGGTGAAGAATAACACAGATAGGAGAAATGAAACTGCCCCAACTTCTTACTTTGAGGACATTTTTAAATGCACGTACTACAGCAGAAATATACAGTATATATGATAGGACCAGTTTCATTCACAGTGACACTCAGCTTCCGTGTTGGAAAGGGACAATGACTCTCAGACTTGCCTTGTACATGTTGCTGTGAGCCGTTTCATGTAGGAGCTACTTTCTTTCTACTGAAATTCACCTGTCAACCGGATCACTGCTCAGAAGGAGGCGTGTGTCTACGAGAGGCTCATGACAGTGCGAGACGTAAACATCCATACGGTATCACCTCGCGCTAGGTGAGCTAAGAGATGCACACTTCCTTCTGCACAGAAATGTGGTTGGCAGGTGTAGTTCAGTAGAAAGACAACAGTCCCTACATGAAACTGGACTTTGAGCACCACAAGCCGAGTGCCAACTAGTTCCATTGTACTGAAGAGACGGCAGACATCTCTATGGCTGATATCTCAAACACTCAGCAACTCGCACCAAAAAAAATCTAGATTTATAAAAATCACTACAGATAAGAGGAAAAGTATGTGTTATGAAGGGTATCCATAGCAACAAGCATCAACAGGTCATCCAATAAAGTTGGTAGCTGTGCACTTAAAGAAAATCATGCATGCCCCACCTATATTATTTTTACTGCTGTGATATGTACTTACAGGTCATTTCCATTTTCTCCATCAATGTCATGGAAATAATGCTGCCTGTCCATGATCTCCTGGTATTTTTCAGCATATTCTGTAAAAGCAGAGACAATGACACTTAAACACAGAAGAGGCTGGAACATGACTGCACATGTTTTCCCATTTAAAGTAGGAGATGACTGCTTTTTTCACAATTTAAAGGACTTATTGAGTGAGACGGCTGAGAAGAGTAAACAGGATGAATCAAGCCAAAATGCAAATTTATTACAAATATTGTTATCTAAAATAAATTATGCAGTGTGTTTGTGAGGAAACGTCCGTTTTCTAACCAGCATACTTTGTAGTAACGTTTCAAATAAATAGTAGTTTAGCTGGAGAATAACATATCACATAACAAATAAATAAGTGCTAATAATAAAAATAACAAAAGTATTAATAAAAAGCTGTTTGCATACTGCTTCATGTTGCCATCTTCCAATTAGAGAACTGATTTTTTTTTTTTTACAATCAGCACAATAACGCATCGCAAACAAATGTAAAGTCCATTTCTATCAACACTGTTTCCATTTTGAATTTTAGCCTAGAATTAAAAGGCGGCATAGCTTCAGTTTTAACTGTGCACATGATTGATATAAATGAGTATGCCAATTTTTCCTTTGCGTCGATTGCAATATACTAAACAACATTTAACAGTGCAATTTATAGAACTGATTCATTCTTTCACTTATAAAACCACTGTTTTATAGATATAACTGTTATAACTCTAATATCAAAAAAATAAATTAGGAAATGTTACGCCTTCTTTTTTTAGTCTTTTAACCGTTTTATTTTATTCTTTTTTCTTACTTATTACTTAAAAGCAGACACCAGAGAGTTATCTTGCATGTCAACTGTGCCTGTGACTGACTAAACACAGCTAGCTATAGACAGGGTGACACACCGCCAATGCTAGCCTGTCCTGATCTGTCATGTACATGTTTTCTTGAGTCACCTGGATCTGCTGCTGTGAAAGGAGTGCCGTCTTCTGTGTAGAATGTAGGTTCATTCTAATAGGAGAAAAACAAATGACAAACAGAAATACAGAAATTATGAAAAAGAATAATAATATTTTAAAAAAGGAAGAAAAATGGTGAGTATGGTACATTTGACACTCACCATAAAGTAGTTAGGGTCGTTGTCTGGTGTGGCGTTGCTGGCTGCTGCGGCAGCACGGACTCTGCCCCAGTCACTTGATCTCAACTCCACTAGTTTTAGAAGCATCTGTCTGACATCTCTGAAGACAAAATATTCTCGTATCAACACGAGTTACCCAGGACCTCTATTAGGGTTTAACTCTTAACTGCTCAGTCTTTTGCCAGGTTATGGCTGATTTTTGAATGATGGCACATGTTTCAAGTGCAGTGTGTGTTAAACATAACACTCTGGTAAACATTGGCTTCATTACCATTGTTCATAACACTCTGAACCTAAGACCTCATCTGTATATACTTGATTCATTTTTTGTGAAATATTTATTCATCCATAGCTTTTTGATGCTGGATGACTGTCACACATGATCATTAGGTGCAACTATTTTAGCAGACACCTCTGTGAATGTCTCCGCAAAGTTGCAGCATCTCAGATGTTCCAAGCTTTTTAAATCTAACGTAACCTTAAGCATAAGCCTGGAGTATTCGCTGCACACAAAAGACCACATTGATATACACACCTGCTGCAGGTGGCATCCAGTAGAATAGTCTCTATTCTTTGGATCAGTTCATCCATGTGTGGTTTCCCACTTTCTTTCCACGCGTCATCCAAGACAGAGCCTGTCAGCTGCAAATGCAAAACACATTCTCATTACCGCCCTAAACAACAAAACTACCTGGAAAGCTTTCTATACCAATGTGTAAACATATTGAGATATGAAACCTTAAGCAGTTTCACAGCACAGATGAGATTTGCATCCACAGGATTGGAGAACAGGCTGTTCATCAGGTCCTTCAGACCATTGAGGAGGATATCTGCTCGACTTGGAGGTCCTTTCCCTCTCTTAATCTGAAGACACAAAAACAGATTGGCACAAATTACAACGACTGACTAATAAAATGAAAAGATTGAAGGCAAACTATTCTTGTGTTAAGGGCTTATGAACCCAACTTGCAAAGTTAATCCCTCCCCTGAGATCTACAACATGTATACAGGTGACCAGAATACAACGGAAAGCACCAGCAGCATCACCAGACATCCTAAACGTCTGGCAGCAATTCAAGCAGGGTGTTACCAAAACAACCACGGTCCAAATAGGAAGTCAGGATTGTGTTGTGTAAAATTTAATACACAAATTAAATAAATGCATTTAAACAAGAGAACCTCTTACCTCCAGGTTAAGGTATAGCTCTCCCAGAAAGAGCACAAAGGAGTGGAATTTCTTCTGGGTTTCCAGTTCTCCGCGAACAGCTGCATCCCTCTGTTCATACTCTATTCGACATCTACAGCAGACAACATTCTTCCTTTTTAATATTCATTTGAACAGAGACAGGTCAAGATGCTCTGCATGTTGACCTTATTGTTATTTTAAATTGTATTACTGCTCGTGTGATACCAAAATTTCTATCAGATGATTTTGCATCATCTTGTAACAACACTGTCACCTTCGTTTCAACATTCTATTATAAAGAAATTGTATTTAATGACAAGTTAAGCCAATATTTGTTATGAGATCTTTAACCCACATTAAATCCAGTAAAGACAGAAATAAATCACCTTTGCAGGAGGAGCTGTCGAAAGTTGCCACTTGGTGGGCTGATAGTGAGGTGATGGGACAGGTAGTTACAGAGCCTGGCGCCCGTGTAAGAGAAGTTTGGAATGGCCGTCGACTGCAATGAGAAGAAAACTTAATACCCAGTGTGCTCCCTTATACAATCGTGTGTTTTGTCACTAACATACATTTATATTTAAATTGAAAGTGTATGCTGTGTTTAGACAGGTTTCGTTTCAATTTGGACTGAATATGTCGCCCCAAACCTGTGTGTAGATCAGTTCCACCAGCTCATTCAACAACTCTTCAGTAGTAACCCAGGAATTGAGCATGGCAGTTATCTGTTCAACATCTGACTCGAAGGACCCTGGTGAGGAGCTCAGGTGGCCGAGGAAGTCTGTGACTGTTTCAGCCAAGGTTGGTTCACTGTAGTAGCTTTCATTGTCATCATAATAAGAGGGGTCCTACACAAAAATCACAGTAAAAAAATTAATAAAAAAAATCCAAAGCACTTTGTCTTGCTACTTCAAATTAGCCAAGTAACATTTAAGTTAGACATTTCAATGTATAAGATATTCTGATCTTTACAGATGTAATGAGGGATGCAACACTGAAACAGTTCCTGACTCCAACTTGGAAGCTTGGAACCATTACAATACATGTTGTTTAACAATATAAAACAATAAGAGCAATAGTATCAGAGTAAAGGCAGTGATAGTGTAAAATGCCTCTTACTTCATACTGGCTGACTCCCGAGGGGACAAACTCTGGGGCACTGGCTGAAAGCTTTGATGACTTGACCAAGGAATCCACCTCATTAAAACCTATGGAGGCAGATGTACTGTTGGCATTCGCACTTTGTTGGGGTTTGTTCTGTCTTTTAAAGTCTGAAAGAGGAAGAAGAAAGATGTTCTCAGTCTGTGATTTGAGCCTCTGTGACACTACTTCACCCACATGTTCACTTTCTCTGTTTTTTCTTTAAAGATAAAGCTGGTAATACTACATATATTCTTGTTGTTGTGAACTATTGACTCAAAAATTTCAATCCTTCGAAACGGTTCACAAATATACTTTAAGACTGACTTATTCTCTGTAACAGCTGGGCACTGTAATTTTAACAAACTTAAGTCAAACAGGAGTACGTTGTGCTGTTGTTTGAGACCATTTTCAGCCAAAGACTTGTTGCACCAGCAAGCATTTGCAGCAGAAGGTTTCTGTAAATGGGACTGACTCAACATAAAGAAAAAAAAACCTACAGTGTCCATGTTTATAGTAATGAAGACACCCATTGCAAAAATGTGGCTCATTGATGTGTTTTTGATACTTCCTGGACAGCAATGTGAGACTATTACACAGAGGAATAAGCTATACCAACAGACTACTTGTTAGTAGAATAAATTCTTCACTGGTTTTAGCCGTTTTATGAGATCTGACGAACACGGATCAATAGGAAATCAGAGGCATAGTGCACCAGAAGTAAACAGAACACACCACTACACAGCACTGCCCTGCAGGGTTTAGAAAGTACAAAAAATAAGTGTAAAGCTGCAATACAGCACATAATACATAATACTCCCTGCTATGTACCACTGACTTTAGTGCTGCTGCGCACACTACACGTTTCACACAGACTAATGTTGGCAGCAGAGTGTGTGTGCACCTGCCCCCCAGTGCTGCAGCGCATGCATGTGTGCAGGTACAGCTCCCAACTGCCTGACTGAACATTTAAGGTCATGCTGTAGGTGCAGCTAGAGTGCAGTGCACATCAACCTAGTGGAGTGGGATAGTGTTTGGCTGGTTGGCTACCATCCCAGAAATGGGTACTGGATCATGCAGGTATTATATATACATTTTCCACCCATACTGGTTGGTACTAATGTACTTTAGGAGACTTTTAATACAGATGCAGTTGTGCTTTTCAGACCTGCCCATGTAATCACGTGGTTTTGACCATGACCATACAGAGGCATAGTCCTTTAGAAACAGATCACAACAGGGCATCCAATGCTCCAAACACTGGTCTTACTCTGTGAAACTGATACTCAAAGAATATGGTTTTATCAGTACAACTACACCGTGATTTACCTCACTGTTACTTTACTTCCCTCCAATTTAAGGCCAAATACTTGATCAGATTTAAAAGGGGAACTGATTCTTCCCCTTTGCTCTGATTATGCTAACTTTACATTAAGCTAGTTAGCTGCAGTGGATGTTAGCTCTCCAAAGTTTTAGCTGGGTAAGACAGCTTTAACTGTGACACGTAACTAACCAACGACGTGACATTTGAGTGGGAGCTTTATTTAGACGCTGCGTTACCTCACATGAAATAACAATCCAACAGGTGCATGTCGCAACGCCAAAATGCTAACGGTTGAACAAGCTAACATTAATGGAACGCTAGTTAGCAGCTAGCTAACTAAATGACAACACCAGATTAACAACAGGTTAAACGAGTATTTCAACCACTACGTGCTTCTCAGACAAGCTGTCAGCCGGAGGAAATTTTGTAGCTACTATTAAATTCAGGGAAACACAGTCTGGCCTTTAGTGGCCATGTCATGTCAGTTGCATTTACCCAAAACCGAATCTGAAAGTAGCTATTTAGCCAAATTAGCTCAGTTACCGTTAGCCTAGTTGACAGCTCCCTACCTCCAGCAGCAATGGCGTTGGCCGCGCTCATGTTGTTCTCGGCGAAAGGCGGGGATGTTCGCGGCTGCCTCAGCGGTTCCCTTTGGTTGAAAAGCTGGGTTTTGATGTCCCCGTCCCCGACGACATCAGCTAGCCCGGGGTCTGTGGGGAGATTTCGGCTTCTCCCCGATCCAGGAGCTCGGTCGAAACTCTCGTTCATGATGACTGCTCGCTTGTTCTCAGCGCAGCATCAGAGAAAGACGAAGAAAAGATAATCACCGCTTTGGGTTTTGCGTAGAAGCAATCGCTTGTGTTATATGACAACAAAACACGCCCTATCTCTCTTTCATGGTGTTTTTTCCCTCTGTCGGTTGGTATCACAGTATACACAACTTTTTTGACCACTTCCTTTAACAACAAACTCGCTGTCGCTGATTATCAATGACAGCGCGTGATATCAAAATACAGGTGTCTCCCTCTAGTGGCGCGGAGTGGAAGCGCAGCCATTAATGGTGCATTGTGCAGACTCAAAATACAGCACAGTTTCATCAGTGACGGTAAGGTTATTTAGATTATTTACCTCTAAGTAAATGTAGAAATACCTAAATTAAATATGCATGTATTTAGGTAAAAGTCCTACTTTCACAAATTTACTCAAGTACACAATGATAAAGGGTGGCGGTGGTCAGGTTATGTTTTTTTTTAATGCTGTGAGGGTCTTTTACCTTTTTCTCCTGCTAGATTAATTCATCCCTTTTAAGATTTATGATAGATAACAATAATAGCACTAATAATAATACATCCATACATATATATATAATGAAACTCAAGATCCAACCCCACTCTCCACCCTAATAGTTTCTATACAGTCCCTAAAAGTACATGTATTAGTTGGAAAAGTACATATCACTCACCATGCAAAAAATGCCCCCTGTGAGTATTCCTTAATTGAACATTGTATTATTGGATCATTATTACTAATGCTTACTTGTGTAAGTAGCAATTTACTGTTGTAGTTGCTCAAGATCAGGAGTGTCAAACATGGGGCCAGCTCTAATCCGGCCCACTAGATGACTTTGCACATCTAATATTGAAGCAGTTGTGAAGGCTTAGAGGTGCAGCTTTCAGGAGCAAGTTAAATGAGTATCCTACATCATATAAAATGCTGCTTCAGAGGCTTTTCCAACCTGACCAGAATACAGCTCTCTGAAAATACAATAAATACTTACTGTGGTCATATTTAAGATATTGAACATTGTGCAAAATATTGTCAACCAGCAGCTCCAGTACAAAAGACTCAGTGTCAGACTTCTATTTTAAAATACTTTTGGTGAAACCCTACAGCTAAGGTACGGCCAAAACTTTAGGTAAGTAAATTGTATGTAAGGCGACGGATCACCTAACCTGCTTCTTCAATAGCTTCCACTTTAGTTTGGTGTGGTGATGCCAGCATTATGTGGAAAAACTGAGACATATTGTTGAATATGCACTTTTTTTGTTAAGATATCTCAGGCTGTTCATCATCTGTTATTAAATAGAGACATTCAAAATGTACTTGTACTTCTTTACACTAAGAGAAAATGAAAAATGTGAATGTTGTTATTATTTTGAGGTTATTCTACAGTGGTTTTACTGGTCTGGCCAACTTGAGATCAACTAAGCCCCATGAACTAAAAGGAGTTTGACACCCCTGCTCTAGATAGTGTTAATTTCAACTATTGTTGGTTAGTATATGACATTATTTTATGTGATAAGATACAGCAAAAAGTACAGTATTTCTCCCTGAAATGTAGTGAAATAAAAGTATAAACTAACATAAAGCAACTTATAAAATAACAAGGCTATTTTTTTAAGTATTTTTGTGAAGATATGTTTCCGGACTATCATTCCATATAAGCTGCTGTTCAAATCCCTCCAGTAAAACCCCAACACAATTTGTAAATCAAATCTGTTCTCATTATATTTATAAATCCAGCTGTTCAGTTATTCTTAAATTTATCTGCCACAAGATCTTTGTTAATGCTTTAAAAAACCATCTACTTTGCAGGGATGCTGAAGGAGAAATACTAAAGCTCATGATTTTTTAAATTTTATTTGTTCTGCCTTTATTCACATTTAGGGAAAAAAGTGTATGCTTTTGCACTGGGAAATGTTGGATTTTATGTGAAGTTAGCTTGTGTAATATTCCCCCCACAAAAAATGCTGAGGACATGACTTCAGTGTCTGCAGTGTAGCTTCTGTTAGCCCTGTTTGTGGATTTAGGCACCAGTTGTCTGCACAATACGAGTGAGTAATAACAGATCCGTTAAAGGGTTTGTGTGGTTGTTGAATTGTTTATATAACCTAACACTGATCTAAAATATTTGCCAAAGCACCAAGAGTTGGATAATTATATTAAACTGACCCACATTTACGCATCACAGAGGAAAATCTGGACCCGTGCAAACCCCACGGAGGTGCCTCTCTCTCCCTGCTCTACTCTCTCAGTAGCTGCCCACTACAAACATGTGTTGCACCAGACCTCTCAGTGTAAGTATTCATTAGTTGTTTTAGCCTCCAGTCATTTTCCACTTGTTTCCCAAAGCTGGATCACATTATGCCACAGAGAATTCCCGCGCCAGAAATGCGGAGACCCACTTTGATAAACTGATTACTGCCCCTATTTGCAGTTACTGCAGTTTTTCCCTCCATGTCAGTGTCTTGGAGGGAGTTCAAACATTCACAAATCTCAGGAATGCACAAGGTGACAGATGATCGGTGTTGAGGGGGGTCGTGAGAATACTCATTGCCACAGGTTTTAAATGCAAAAAAATGTGGAGTTTCAAGTTTGAGCAGAACACATGTAGCTTATATCCCTGGTGATTTATTAACTGCATCATTAAGGTATATACAGAGCAATTAAGGACAAATTTAAGTCTATTGAGGCTGTGTGTGGTATAGCTTCACACCAGAGACCAAATTAACCTTCCTAATGTGTGTTACTTGCTGGTTTGCCAATGTCATCAGATGTTGATAATTGGCTGAGTTGGCTGAGTTGGCTGGGTTGTCATGTCAGGAGACTAAAATTGATTTTGCTTTCACCCAAAATTTTACGCCTGTACAACGTAAGAGTTCAATGTTCTTCTGATGTAATATTGACGTCCAGTGCCAGCTGGGTTTTTCTTGTAATTTTAGTTTTGAATATAAGCAAAGGAATACAAAAATCTAAATGCTTTAAGTCCATTTAGTCAAAGACAGTCTTCTAGATTATTTCATTTATATTCTTTATGACATTGCGCTCGATAGCCCTCATTTGAACTTTCTAATCTACAGGTAAATCTACAGGTTTATCCACAGGGTGCTGTTATGAATCTGGCCTCAGAGGTGCAGCAGCCACACCACATTGCACAGAGCAGGGAAAATGCAATAGACACTGCTGTGTATGGTGCAGAGATGGTCATGAAATAGTATTCCATATGTTGCCATTGGCCATGACTGTCATGGTGGAATGCTCTGCAGCATTCCTCGGTATTAATCATTCGTCGTGGTGATTCCTTAAGAAGACATTAAAGGACAACATACTACAGCCTGAAGCAAAGGCTTTTCTGTACTCTGGATTCCTGTAGTTCACCTTTTGTTGTTTGCACTCCGGAGCCACAGTCACGGGCCGACTTGGATAAATTTGAGAGTGAAGACGATCTCTCACCTTCCTGTCTTGGCCTACTCTCCTGATTTTTCATGCCCTCGCTGAGATGGATGTTCACAGAGGCGGGATACGAGAACATGAGGCCCGGAAGCCTGTGGTGTTAATGTTCTCCCTGCGGTCTTTTGATCCTGCATCAAGGCAGCTGTCATTGATTAGTGTGTTTGTGGATGATTACTGAGGGAAGTGGGTGGTCAGACACAGGTCATGTCTCTTTTTCTCCCTCATTCACATTTCTGCCTCCGCACACACTCAGGCCCTCCAGAAACCTATTGGCCTTAGTGATGCAGAGCAACATGACAAATCTATTTTTTTTTTGCTACGTATTTACTATTCAATCTCTCCTGCAATCAGGGAATGTTACAGCTCTACAGTAATGTGGTGATATTAGGAAATGATGTCAGCATCTACAGGCCATACCACGGAAGTCCCCTCCCTCCCATTCTGTTGTGGTCGGTCTGTATGTTTCCCGTTTGTTTGGGAGCTAATCATTAGCGCAATGGTTGCCACATGGAATATCTGGCTAGGCATTAATAGTTGCCTTTTGTCCCTCCCTACCTCAGAGGGAAAGATAAGAATAGACTTACCATGACCTGAACGTTCACCAGGTTTTCTCACCACTTGCAGTGAAGTCAGTTTTTGGTGTTTTATTGAGGAAGTGAGACGGCTGCGTTGCAGAGGAGAAAGTGGTATTTTATTTTCACATAATAGAGTTCCTATAAAAAGTAAAGAATGCAAAGGAATGCTTGCCGTGTAAGTGTTCCCCTCCAGTTAAATATTTCACAAAATAAATAAATCATTACAATACAGTCAAAACACAGTGGTTAAGTATCAAACATTTGCTTTAAATGTGGTGTATCCTCTATTATTTAACGCTGTCGTGATACACTGACCAATCATTTCCCTCATCTTATCCATTCTCTATCTCTCCTCTTTATGTTGCGGATTATCTGGTGTCTCACAGGAGCATATGGATTATAAATAACATCTTCTGCATCTACCACAGTACATTAGATGGGACAGTATCTCCTGTGTTGTCCACATCACACACATACTCCAGTTGCAAAGTGTTTGGCACAGAAAAAAAGGATAAATATTGCATCCCGTGCCACAGAAAACACAGAAATCATTGTCTCCAACCAAATAAAGTACATGATCTCAGTCAAAGTCAAGGGCAGAGACCATATTTGTGTGTAACAGTGTTAGTGCCTTGTTTCCAAATGAGAGATTTCTCAGTGATTGTCTTTATTTTACAGCTTTTTTTCAGTATTGAAAACCTCTCTGTCCAGTGCTGCATATCCTCCTCCTCCGCTCAAGTCCTCCAGCTCACACCATAATTGGAAGGAAGTGGGTGGCCGTGTTCTTCCTGCGGGTTTTCTTCCCTCTCAGCGGCTTCCCGTGGACATTCAGGCCCACAAACATCTGCCGCTTCTTGTTCTTCCACTCAGCTGACGCGTACGTGTTGTAGCCGTTCTCCTCAATCCGCTCCTTCAGGGTGCAGTCGACACCGAACTCTCTCTGGAAAAACAGTAGGTATCACGTTTCAGTGTTAAAACCCCGGCATGTGAGGTTAAGGCAAAACACAGATCATTTTCTTGTGCAAATCCATTGTGGTTGCACATGGTACCTTGTTTATTTACTACTCCTTAATCTACATCGCATGCTTTGCTTTGTGTGCCTGGGCAGAAGCTAGTGTGCACTTTGAAAATTGCACAGTTAGAGGTTAACGTGTGTGCATGCACTGGCCTAGTTGTTGACCCAGCAGTTAGAGAAGTAAAGATAAGGCCTCCTTTGATAAGGACAGAAGAATCTAACACTATCTCTCTCTCTGGAGCATCATGATTGACCCCTGACCCGGATACTAACCGCTCCGTACACCTCTCCCTTCCTGCTGATAGCCAGATAGTAGTTGCTGTTCAGCCCTTTGATGGCCACCACTCCCACATCCACCGATGTGATCTCCAGAATACCTAGGGTTCAGCAAAAAGACAGTTGTATCAATATGTGTCAACATTCAGAGAGCACATGAGTAAAATCAAGGGCGTAGGTTGTGTTTCAGCATTGTGGGGGGGACACTTAATTTCATGCATTCTGGTGATTTTTTTATGCAACAATTTGTGCCTTTTCTGCATCAAATTATAGTGTAAATGTCAAAAAAAGTGCTGCTACTTCCATATTTCTAGTGGGGGAGCAAATGCACATGTTGTGAATATTTTGTCCCCTGCACCGACCCCCCTGAAAAATCTACACCTACGAGTAAAACGATTTTTCAACTATGTGTTTCCAAGAAGTTTGAACTGAAATGCCAGAGAAAAAACTTTTTCTTTTTCATTTTTTTAGTTCACAAAGACAAATAGAAAACAGAGGAAGTAGAGGTGATAATATTTTCCTGACTCATAGTTGCTGTGGGTAAGACTAAAACTAATATATCCATAAAGTTTTACAGGCATCAGCGAAGGCAACTAATGGATAACAACATATTGCACGCTCATTTCAGGCCATGTACATGTGGAACCACACAGTGTGGGAATGCTGCATAAGGTCACAATTATTCTTCGGGCACATTTATCATTTCAGTGATATTATAAAGTTACTTTACAGCCTACACCTGTGTAACAAATTCCAGCTGCGCAGGCCATTTAGTTTGAAAATTAATAGGTGGATACCACAGAGACTCTCAGGTTGTTTATGTTCTGTTTGGTATTTAGGTTTCCAAGTCCCTATGCAAGCAATTCAGGTTTCTCATAGGCTATTAGAGGGGCTAATTTATACCCCAGTTAACAAGGGCATGCTTTTGCCACAGACAGCTGTGGTTATTTGTGTGGTCTCAGTATCAGAGGTCAGAGAGATATAACTTCCTAATGTGTCCTTTGACCACAGAACCCACTTGTCTCGTCTTATGTGTATGTGTGTGTGTGTGTGTGTGTGTGTGTGTGTGTGTGTGTGAGTGTGAGTTAACCTCCCCTGTTCCCATGGCATGTTTGATTTCATGCCTCCCTCCCTGACTTCCTTTCCCCACTTCCTGTGAGCTGTCGTTATTTTATCCCGATAAGCGCACATGTGTACGCACACACACATTCAGACACACACTCTAGCGTGGGGTGTGAACTCCAGAGAGTCGACGACATCCTTTGATCAGATCTGCAGCCCCTCCTCTGTCTGATGACTGTTTGTGTGGCAGCCCGCTCTGCTGTCAGACCCACTCTCCGGTGGCTGGGGGGCCTCTGAGGCTGCCAGCCTGGTACATGAGTGGACAGTGGAGGACGCAGGTGTGCCCCCAAAGAACAATCCCTCTCTCTTAAAAATACAGCAGCCTCTCTCCTCGTCCGTGAGGTCTTGACTGTATCAGTTTCTAGTTCAAACAGTGTCACCTCGGGGCAGTGAGGTCTGAAGCGGCAAGGCGGTGGTGGGGACTGTGACACAACAGCCATTGAAGATCTAAGAGGAGCTGGTTTCTGTATGGGATCGGGTGTCGGGTATGGAGTGAGGATGTAAGACAATCTATGGCAGTCTCTGGCTGCTCTGTAAACATGGGAGGGATGAAAGGAAGGAGAACAGAGGAGGACAGAGGAGCCATGACAGTGAGACTGGGGGTGGAGTGAGGATTAGTAAGGCTGTAATGATCACTGATCAAAGTCAGCCACCGGAGGCAGGGGCGAGACAGGTTGTATATACACACACATGCACTCACAAACGCACTCGCACACACAGAGCTGATATTGTAGCAGGTGAATGTGCACTTGCACACAACTTGCAAAGCCAACCTGGCTGTGAAACTACAAAATCTCCATTCACTGTTCTCTGCTGAACGCTCAACTCGGCCCACAGGTGGAGAGTAATGAGCTTATGGCTGCAATAAGCTTCCTCCAGATTACAACATTAAGCATTAAATGTGACAACAATACTTTGAATGGGGAAAATTTTACAAACCACATTTGAAAAAAATGTAGCCTTAAGTGATGCGGCAAGGTTCAGCTGTTTACATGGGGAGACAGCAGTTTTTCTTTTGCATGCTGGTTGCTTTTTCCTAATGTGCGGCTTATTTGATACGCTCTGTTTGGAGTTACAACAGTAAATGGTGCGTTGGTTGTGGAATGGAGGCACACAATGCCAGTGAGAATTAAAGGTGGTTTTTCCACAGTGGGATGCCAAAAACAATGTGCTTTGCAGCTTTCGTTGTTATTCTTTCTCACTTTGCTCCTTTCTTTAATTAATGCTCACGGGCTGCCCGAAAAAACATTTGCGCAGATACGTTTGAATGTACATTTTGATTGGTGCCATTCCCATGCAGAAAAGTGGAGTGGAGCGAGGCGTAAATCAGGATATGTAGTAATAACACTTGATAAGGACCACACTGAGTGTATTTACACAGAAGGGATATCCATCCTCTTCCCCACCTCAGAGAAAACCTATACATCTCTCTCCTGCATAAGAACGCCATCTGTTTTTTTCCCACGCAAAAAGGCCACTGCTTTGATTAAAGGAGATGCATGTGCACAGAGACACACACATGTAACGTATATACACACTTCTTCTTGAGCCATGTCCAGAAGCATCTTGCACACATGGCCTGGCCCCTACAGCACTGAAACACAACTGGTGGCCCGACACACTCACACATACACACACAGTCTTGACAGGCTCACCCTCTCACACCGTCCCAGCCGTGGATAATTACCCAAACTTTTTAACTGCCAAGCTTTTGCCTTTTGTCTTATTTAGCAAGGTTTCCCTCGGAGCTGCTAGTTAAATTCAAGAGAACTCAGCTGTGAATCATAGATTTTTTTTAATCAAGTACTTCCTGTACTATGCAGATTAGCTGACTTGAACATAATCTCCCTCCCTTTCCTTCTGCCTCTCTGTAACCTCAGCACAGGCTCCCAGCGGGTTGGAAAGCCATGTGGGACAGTTTTGCGTTGGCATCCCCATAAATCTGTGGGAGGCTGGATACTGGCTCTTTAACAGACAGTGAGTTGGGTCCTCGCAGGGCCACAGGCAGCACCCAAAACCAAAGCCTCCACATCCCACACACCTTTTAGACAAATCATATATAAATTAATCTATTGCAAAATTTAAATGCAGCGTGTCTCAGGAGAAGCCATTCATTGCAAAAAAAAAAAAAAACCTTGATATTTGTCACTTCAAGGGACCATCGAGGGTCTACAAAGGACGTCAGCCCTAGGATCATGTCTAGCCCCAGGGGCCAGAGCAAAGACTGAAGCTGCTGTTGTGTAGTATCCTTTACCGTGAGAACCTGATACAAGGGCACATAATCCACACACAGTGTCCTCAGACCCCCTCAGGACACAGCTTTTTGATGGCACCACCATTGATACTGAAGACGCGCGGCTTTGATGTGGCCCACAATGATGTTCAGCCATGTCATTCATGAACTTGTACCTCTAGAGAGTCCCCTGTGCTCCCTTTCCCCTCCCTCACCGACGCTCAACCTGCACTAACTCAAACTGACTTCTGAAAAAGGCAACGCACGCTCCTAAAAATGAGAAGCTGCAGGTCAATGAAGGCAGAAGACAAGAGCGGTAAATCAGCTTCCAAACATACATAAAGTTTAAGGTGAATTCACACGCCACTATTATGATAAACTGAGTCAGGCTTCTTTCCTCCACTTCAGTTTAACAACTTAAAAGAAACTACTGAAAAAGGCGGCAGTAAAGGCATCACAATGTAATACGGACAGTAAATAAAGTTGCCTCTGTCATGACCTTGTCAAAACAAACATCTCCCTTGACATTCTGCCTCCCGTGCCATTTCCCCTAAGTCACTTTGATCGAATGTGCGGTTTAGCTCTCCCAAGAGGAACATTAAAAGGTTCCATATACACTCACTATGGGGGGCAGAGAGAGGGAGAGCATGTGAGAGATGTATATGTGTGTGTGTGTGTGTGTGTGTGTGTGTGTGTGTGTGTGTGTGTGTGTGTGTCAGTAATAAGTGAGCACATGTGTCGTCCTCGGCTGCTATATGATCACACACCCACTGGAGCATGTGAGTGCCCACTGGCTGATAGGCACACACACGTAGAGCGCGGTGGGGAATGCTGGGAGACTAATGCTATTTTACTGACTGATATCCCGAAACATACAACATGTAATCACTTTAAAGACGTGTTTCTCCAAGTGAGCACGTCAAACTGCTTTAAACAAATGTCTGATCTGTCACTGAGGGTATGTAATTTAGTTTGACGCTGGCTGGCAGGCGGGCAATGTGAGTGGGAGAGTGAGTGAGACACAGACACACAGAGAGGCCCAAAGAGTCTGAAAGCATCAATGAGACTGACATCCATATCCTCAACGCCCCCCTCCCCATCTCTCGAAGCCCTGTTCTTCTGTGGTTGTTATCAGCGCTGTTTACCCAGGGCTGTGAAGACTTCCTGATAATGGCCGGGTTATCTGCCCCTGCTCCTTTTTAAGCCATCTGAGAGCTACCATCATTGTGCTGAGTGTTTGGACAGGAGAGATATCAGCGGGATGTCTGGTTTAAAACAAAAAGACGACTCAAATCGGGCCTTGCTTCATCCAAACTAACCAATGGGCAGGCTGGCGGTCTTTGGAAATGAACGAAGAATAATGCTTTTTGTTTAAATTCAGTGTTTACGCCAAGTTATATATCTAATTTATGTATTTGTGTTGGTGTTTTGGGGGGACAAGCTTTTTCTCTTAAGGAAAATCTAATTTCTCAAATTAAAAATAACATTTAAGAGGGTTTCCTTGTGCCAGAAACATCCCTGACTTCAATCAACAGGTGCTTTTTATTATGCAGAATACAGTTTTGGTTGCAAAGGATAAAAGCCTTGAGTTCACACTTCAATTTGGAAGGTTAAAACCGATGTTTTAGCTCAAATAAGCCTTCGTTGGGGTCACAATGAACTTTTGCAGCCACCACAGACACTCAGATCATCTTTGGGTCTGATTCTGTCTTTTTTTGTCTACTTTTCTCCATTGTGCTACACAGTGAGTTACTTACTGAGGGGGTCATCTTTGCTCTTGGTTCCATTGACCTTTCCGTTCCTATCGATCCTCAGGAAAAACTTCTGGAAAGAGAACAGCTTCCTCCTCCGCATGTCCCCTTGGAGATGATTGTAGCTGCGCACATGCCTACCCTGCAGCCCCCCAGTCCGACCCAGGGGGCCCCCAGTGGCCCTGGGCCTAGAGACAACCTCGGCCTCTGAAATGTTCAGTGGAACCCTGAGAGTTCGTGGGTTGGCGAGTCTTGGTTTGTCCCTGCGGAGGTTATGGCAGGCTGCCCCGGGTAGGGAGAGGGAAAAAACCACCAGGGCAACTAGGAGAGGCAAAGACAGGGAGGGAAGCAGTGTTGATGTTGACCTTTGTCTGGGGATGGTTTCCAAACCAGAACGAGCCCCTAGCCCAGCCCTGGAGCAGGACGAGGCAGAGGCAGCCTTACTCCCTCCAGCAGCCCATCTGATCATGGTAGTGTGCTGTGTGGAGGACTAGAGGCAGCCTCAGAGCCTGGGACATGCTGCTGGGGGCGAGGATAGGCTGGGAGGGTAGGGAGGGAAGCCCTCCACAGTCCAGACTGGGAGAGATGGTCCCCCTGCAGAGTCTGAAATTCCTAGTTTTCCCTCTGAATTACTTTTGATAGAGTAATGACTGTTTAACAAGTCACTGTGTCTCAAGCTGATACTCCACAGAGATCTCGTCTCCACTGTTGAAAGGTTTTAGGCTGGAGATCAAAAATTCTGTTTTGGAAAGTAAATCAGTCTGAACGAAAGATTCAGCAGGAAAACAACACACCAATTACTATTTGTGTGTATTCCAGTAACAAACCTGCTTTTCCACTTTTCTCCCGTCACCTAATTCGCTCTAAATTGTTTGTGAAATTTTGACTATTATGCTTGGCTGCTCCTGTGTGACCCTCGTGTTTCCAGGCACTTGCTTAGTTTCAGAAAACAAAGTCAAAGAAAAAAATATAAAGTTCACTGATATCCAGGTGGTAAGTTTACCATGTGTAAAATTCCTTAGTTCCAGTAGATTAAAAAAAAGTGCACCACACAATCTACCTGTCCGAAAGCTGCTACACTCCACATGTGCAGGAAAGCATTTTCAGATTTCACTCTGAGGAGGAAAAACAGGATTTAAGACTTAAAGAGGAACGCTGGTCAATCCGGGTGCATGTCAGATAATCCATCTGTCTTCTTCTGTTGCCCTGCTCCTCTCGCTCTCTCCTCATCTCTCTCCCACTCTCCTTCTCTGTCTCTGTCTTTACCCCCAAATGACTCCACCTTCATGCAGCATCGAGGTAACGGACTGGGGAGGTCTCTCTCTCTGTCTCAGGGTTGAGTCAGAGTTGTCTGCCTCGTGTTCGTTAGGTCCTTGATATGAGGATTCCTGGTGTGATCTCCTCACCTGAAGGGTGATCACAGAAAATGACTGTGTTGTGTTGTGTGTAGCTGTGTGACTCTTAAGTTATTTGATCCCTCCCTCCTTTACTCAACTTCCCCTCTCACATATGGGAGCAAGTACTGCTCTGCGTGTGTGTGTGTGTGTGTGTGTGTGCATGCCTACATACAAGCATATCTAACTTATGAGAGTGGGTGAGAGGTGATAGCAGGGTTTATCTGAGTAGATGCAGCAGGGCAGGAAGAAGCCGTCTGATAGTATTGGATCAGTCCCTACGGCTACAGATTGTACTGATGATTGCTTTATTGAATAATCAAAGGGTGGTTTGGTTTTTACTGTGTATGCTGCAAAAAAAGAGGGGTCTAGGTTAAAGGGGCGGTTCACCCCAAAATCCAAATTCCATATTTTTCCTCTTACCTGTAGTGCTGTTTATTTGTTTGGTTTGTTTTGGTGCGAGTTGTCGAGTGTTGGAGATATCTGTCATGGAGATGTCTGCCTTCTCTTTAATAAAATGGAACTAGATGGCACTCGGCTTGTGGTACTCAAAGCACCAGAAATTTTACTCCTGGACGAGAGGCTCGTGCTTGTGACAGTGCGAAATGGAAGCATTATTGCCGTCCTGCTCAGCAGAGTTGTAACGTTAGCTAGCACAGTGGTGCTAGGTGAACTAGCAGTAGATGCACTCTTCCTGCGGTCAATGGGTGTGAGGCAATGCAACTTTATTTGTATAGCACATTTAATACACCAGGGCAATTCAAAGTGCTTTACAGAGCAATAATATATAAAACATAATAAAGGATACAGATTTAGAGTAAAGGAGTTATGAGAATATATATATATGGTAAAATTAATTACTAAATGATTCACAATTTTAAAAAATCACGCACGAGTGGTTAGCATTGTCGCCTCACAGCAAGAGGGTTTCTGGTTTGAATCCAGGATGCAGAGTTTAAACCCCGGGGTGGGGGAGCCCCTCCTTGCCGAGTTTGCATGTTCTCCCCATGTCAGCGTGGGTTATCTCCAGGTCCAATCCAAACACATGCAGGTAACAGGTTAACTGGTGACTCTAAATTGTCCACAGGTGTGAATGTGAGCATGAATGGTTGTCTGTCTCTATGTGTCAGCCCTGCGATAGTCTGGTAACCTGTCCAGAGTGTACCCCGCCACTTGCCCCACGCCAGCTGGGATAGGCTCCAGCCCCCCAGCGACGCCCAACAGGATAAGCGGTTACAGAAAATGAATCGGGGGGAAAGAAACATTAAAAAAGAAAAAGTGCCTGGATGGAAAGAAAAGGTTATTTAAAACTAAGTTTAAAAATAGTTTGATTAAAGAAAATTTATACCAAAATATTATTTTAGATCTATTCATGCATGACAGTGTGAGATGTAAACATTCATGGCGTCCTCCTCGGCTGAGCTGTAATGTTAGCTCAGTGGATGGATAGCAGCAGATGCACGTTTCCTTCGGCACAATGATACAGTTGGTGGGTGTAGTTTGGTAGAAAGAAAATAGTTCCTACATAAAACTGCTCACAACAAGGTCTGTGGATTATCTTGAGCAACCAGGTCATGAACTCTGGACAGAGACATTGTTGTCAAGTTTTGTAAATGTTTTTCCTTTTCTTCTTTCTTGGTGCTTTGAGCACCACAAGCCAAGTGCCATCTAGTTCTATAATACTGGAGAGAAGGCAGACATCTCTGTGGCTAATATCTCCAACACTCTCACACAACTCACGCCAAAAACAATCTAGATTGATAAATAACCCAACACATGAGAGGAAAAATATGTATTTTTGATTTGGGGGTGAACTGTCCCTTTAAAGTTCATTTTTGTTATCCAGTACATGCTTGTATGGCTGAGTGTGAAGGGGATGAGTATGACAAATTGAAATGGACCCACTTATTACTCATTAAGATGTGATAATCCTGACAAGTGGCCATCCTCCTCTATCTCTTCAGATAAAATCATATTAAGTTACTGTTGCCGGTTCCAGTCTGGAAGCTGTATTATCACAGCCATCTTCTCTCCTCTCTCTTTCCCTCAAGGCACTTTATCGTAGTGTGTTATCTCTCCTGCAGCGCTGTAATACAATGAAGCTCTCCAGTTTCACTCACCAGACCTCTGCCTTCCTCTGTGACTCAGGTGTCTGAGTGGCCCTCGGCCAGTGAGACTCTCTTTTACGAACCATGCATCGTTTGCTCCTCAAGGCACGGCAGGCACAGGATGGACAATGTCATAGTGGACTAGACAACAATGTCCAGTATGTGCAGTGAATGTGCAAAATATTAGGGATGGTCGCTGTTCTCACGAAGAACACTGATGAGGCAGAGCCAGATAAGAATGTTATCTGTCATTGGTTTAACTGATTTTCCTAGGTTAGAAGATACAGAAACATTTGCATTGTGCAAAGAGGGCTGCCTGCAACACAACAGCAGTTATACATTTTGAAGTTTATTAAGACATTAACAATGATAAAGGGCCATATAGAGACATTTTAAACAATCCACTGTGATAAACAGAACGTGAGCTAGCAGTCTTATCTAGTCCCACTGATCCCCGTGTCTTTAATGTCCAGGTCTGTCCTGTTCTTCACTTTCCTTCCCCTAAGTCCCAGTTTTAGTGCCTGCTTTAATGTCTGTCAACGATCTACGGCCAGAGCAGCAGTCTGGTCTTGGCAAGGCTTTATCCAGGGATACAAACAAAGCTATCTTATCATGGCTTCCTTTGTGGTGTCTCTTCCCGCTGTGATAACCTGAATCAGTGCAGAAGAAACAGAGCTGGGAGGAGCAGGCATCATTTATACTGATAAGTGTTGCAACAGTAATGGTGGAGTAAGTTTATCTGGATGTATTTGCATTATGTAAAATGGCCCCTACCTAACTTAAATGGTACTGGTCTGATAAAAATGGTTTTATCTAAATTTAAATCTTGTTTAATGTATTGTAGTTAAAGAAGAACAATATGTGTTTTTCTTAATTTTATATTATAGCATGCCATTTGTCTGCATCCTCTCTACTTGTACTGTGGAAATACATATTAAATACGAAACAGAGTAGTATGAAATGTCAATTTTAAGTCATTTAATCTAGTGGAGTAATACTACAAGATAATCAAGATAGTGTCCCTTGAGTAAAGAAAATAAATCAAACATGCTTAAAGTGACGGTTCGCTGTGGGACCGGTTCACATTAAAGGCATGTGTCAGATTCTCAGATCAGGGTTCAGAGGCTGAAGAGTCTAAAATTGTGCAGATATACCCTCAGTACTTAGTGTTCTTTCCACTAAGACTGTAATGTCCTCCGTAGGTGCCTCAGAGCGATGTAGCGGTGCCATGATACTGACAGACTCCCAAGATCTGCAGGATTTCTCTCGAGGCCAAGGAGCAAATTCTTTGTAAACGTAACTGTGCCTCTGTTTTTTATTCTAAACGCAATATAACTGAGATTTGCAGGGTCTGGAGACGGTCTCATCTCCCTCGCTGCTCTACAGCTTTAGCATTTAGTGTATCTTTATAGATCTAACTCCCCGAATTGCATTTCAAAGTACAAAACAATAGGCAATAGAACAGACAAATGTGCTTCTGATCCCTCCCTACAGGCTGTGGCTCTAGCTGGGTTTTTACCCTATTCTCAAAAACAAAAACATAATTACAATAAAGGCAATGAAAAGTCAAATACCGGAAATTTATACACGTCAGCGGAGATTTGATTTCACACAGTACCAATTGCCAGAAAGGAAAAATGAATCAAGGCGAAACACATGGAAAGATTCCCGTTTAGCATGTGATGTCAGTGAGTTTCTCTGAAGCAAAGTTGTTTTTCCACACTTGTCTATGAACACATCAGGTGTTGTTTTTGTTGTATTCAGATTAGTAAGCTGTTACAGTGCAGAGTTTAATTCAGTATGTATGGGATCACATTTGCATTTTTTATTTGAGTCGCATTAAAGTTAGGAACAAGATGAGAATTGTTGAGAATACGGTGAAGAGTGTCTGCAAAGATGAACTTTAAGGACAGTTATACAATTATCTGACAGTCTTATTGTATTGTGTGTGCACCTTTGAGGCACCTTGTAACCATAACAGACACTACAGAAATAAATTTAACTCACTGACAAGATTATTAAAGGACGTCACAGAAACAAAACACCCCTATTTAGTCAAATTAGAAGTAACTGTTGAATTATCCATCTGGTTTTATTTATATTATTATTATTTATTATATTATTATCTGTAACAGAACTATGATTTCTACTGACGAAGTTCGAGTTGGCTGGCATTATGTTCTTTTCCTGTAAAGCCGTGATGGCATTGTTGCTCATGCAAACTACGCTGATTGCTCTATTTGAACTTCTGCTGCCTGCCAGCATAAGATGCATCACTTCCTGTGTGTCATGATTTTATTTTCTTGATAATGACCTGCTTAACCTCAAAAAGCCAGAGGTGTAAATGTCAGAATGTTACTGAAGCTTTTCAATTAATCCAATATGAGTGGCAGAATCTCTTAATATTTAAAGGTTTTAATTTAAGTGTAACATGTGAATTGAATTCACACTCAGTTTAGTTTTGGTTAGTTACATTTTGTCATGTGCTCCTGAGCTTGCTTAATCCAGATCCCTGTGGCAGCAGGTGGATCCAGCACTATGCAATCTGTTGTCTGCTCAACATACTGTATCACATTAGCAACTGTGGAAATTCACCTTATTCATGTCATGTGTCTCTGATTTTACTTGGCCTCATTGTGAGTATATCGGGCCCTCCCTTTTGGTACACTATCATTAAGCAGATGTTTCACGAAAGAAAAGCACCTCACTTCGAGTTACTTCAGCTCAAATCCATATGTGGCCTATGAGGGAGTCAAACGCACAACTCACAAACAACCAAACTGACCTATGGGAACCATGTGTGTGTCTGTCTGCGTTCCCTGGGGCCCGCTCTGTGTGTGCTGGGTCAGAGGAGGCCGAGGCTTTAATAAAGGAACAGGCC